AAGGGAAATAAGTATATGTATTGAGGGGCGGGGAGTAGTTAGAGAAATAAATGTAGACAGCCTCAGATGTGGAGTATCTTGTCTTTTTTCCTTTGGATTCTTAGTGAGCTGTAGCACAGGTTCTATGACTTTTTTTTTGAGACAGAGTCTCGCTCTGTCTCCCAGGCTGGAGTGCAGTGGCGCAATCTTGGCTCACTGCAACCTTACCTCCCTGGTTCAAGTGATTCCCCTGCCTCAGCCTCCCAAGTAGCTGGGATTACAGGCACATGCTGCCATGCCCAGCTAATTTTTTTGTATTTTTAATAGAGACGGGGTTTCGCCATGTTGGTCACACTGGTCTTGAACCCCTGACCTGAGGCAGTCTGCCTGCCTCGTCCTCCCAAAGTACTAGGATTATAGGCATGAGCCACCAGGCCCAGCCCGGTTCTATGACTTTTATAGTAAAAATGTTTGAATACTCTGATTGTAAAATTCATTTTAGTCTAAATTGACACACACAGTGCTAGAATGTAAGTCCCCACTAGAGTGTAAACTCCCCGAGAGCAGAGACGACCTAGTGTGTGCTGGAGCCCACGCCTGGAGCTGACTGTCCCCCAACTCCACATCTGGTAACATCACCTTGGTACCTTGAAAAGAGCCGTGGAGGGAGCATCTACAGCAAACACCATGGAAAAGAAGCGACCCTGCACCGCAGTGCTGCCTCTCCTGCGGTGAGTGAAGGTTAAACAGTTACCACCACTGGACAGGTCTATCCCAGCCTCTAGCACACAGTAGGCACCCAGATGTTCGAATGAACAACCTCCACATAAGGAAGAGGGAAGCAGCATCCTCTAAATTCAGTTCAAAGGGAGTTCAACAAATATCCTGTCCTGGTGGACGTTGTGTTTTCTGGGGCAGCTTGCCATCTGAACTTCCACCTGGGACCCTGCCAATTCTTGTTTCTCAGATCCTGGCCATCAGGTTACAGGTATGTTCCTGTGGGCTGATTCCTCAGCCCTCCTGTCAATCTGCCATCTTCCAATGCCCTTCCTCTAAGCAACTCTATTTTTTGTTTGTTTTGTTTTGTTTTTGTTTCTGGAAATGGAATCTCACTCTGTCCCAAGCTGGAGTGCAGCAGTGTGATCTTGTAACCTCAATGCAACCTCCACCTCCTGGGTTCAAGCAATTCTCCTGCCTTGGCCTCCTGGGTAGCTGGGACTGCAGGTGTGTGCCACCACTCCAGGTGCAATGAGCTCAGGCAATGCGCCCGTTTCGGCCTCCGAAAGTGCTAGGATTACAGGCGTTAGCCACCACGCCCGGCCTGAAGCAACTCTTCTGTTTAAGTTGACTCAGTCCTTTTCTGTGGTATGCAACCAAGAACCCCGAGGGTCAGTTCAGGTCCTTTGAGAGCAGAGGCCGAGATGGGACTAGACATGCGAAAGATCTACAGGGGAACGCCTGTGAGGATAAACTGCAGGAGAAGGAGGCACAGGGGGAGTCCAGAATGTGGTGAGGGGCTGAGAGCAGCCGCCAAAGGCTGTTCACCAGCTACGCTTCTTACAGCCCCTGTCTGGAGGCAAACCTTCAGGGCTACCATGAACCTCTGGTACAAGGTGTAATATGAAAATCGATTTCTGCTCTTGCAACGTTCACAATTATGAGAGAGACAGAGAAACAACTCTACCACTGCAGTAGTTTGAAAGTGCTAGGGCAAAGCCTGGGACCAATGGGAGCGCAGAGGGAGATGTACAGGAAGGCTTCCTGGAGGAGGCGAACCCTGGGAGCCCAGAGGCGCTTGGCATTTTGCCCTCTTTCTTCTCTCCAGCCATCCATCCCTACCCAACCACACAAAGAGATCTGGCCACTTCTTTCTTAGCCTCATCCTTAGATCTGCAATCTGCAGAGATGATGAAAATGTAGAGAATTGAGGATACACATGGCGGGGAACATGGGACAGAGAAATTAAAATCAATTTTTTTTTAGAGACAAGGTCTCGTCTCGCTCTGCTGCCCAGGCTGGAGTGCAGTGATGCAATCATAGCTCACTGCAGCCTCAACCTCCCAGGCTCAATTGATCTGCCTGCCTCAGCCTTCCAAGTAGCTTGGACCTGCGGTCCTCAACCTTTTGGCACCAGACACCGGTTTCATGGAAGACAATTTTTTCACAGTTCTGGGGGTGGGGTAGGATAGTTTCAGGATGAAACTGTTCCAAGCTAATGCCTGATCCTGTTCAGATCATCAGGCATAGATTTTCATAAGGAGTGCACAACCTGGATCTCTTTCGTGAGTAGTTCACAGTAGAGCTCATGCTCCTGTGAGGATTGAATGCGGCTGCTGATTTGACAGGAGGCAGAACTCAGGCAGTAATGCTGGCTCACCTCCTGCTGAGTGGCCTGGTTCCTAACAGGCCATGGACAGGTACTGGTCCATGGCCCCGGGGGTTGGGGATCCCTAGCTTGGACTTCAGGCAACTGCCACCATACCTGGCTAAGCAAAAAAAAAAAAAAACCGTAGCGATCAGGGGATCTCACTATGTTGCCTTGGCTAGTTTTGAACTCCTGGACTTAAGCAATCCTCCCGCCTCAGCCTCCCAAAGTGTTGGGATTCCAGGCATGAGCCACTGTGCCCAGATCACAACTTTTATTCAGCGTCTAGTAGGAACTTGATGGAAACCAGTTACTTCCCTACTCCACCACCTGCTGTGAGTCTCAAGGGAGCAAGCTGTAGCTTAAGGAGTCGACCTGACCTGCCCAAGTGCACACAATGAAAAGCTGAGGAGCTTTCCTGTCCAGCTCCACCCAGGCTACCCCAAGCCCCAGTGCAAGGGGGTCTCAGGTGCAGCCAGTGAGTGGCACAGGGCCAGCGCAGAGGGGACTTCACAGTGGGAAGGAAAGTCTCACACACACTCTTTCCTGGCCTCTTCTTTCTAAACCACCCTATTGTAATGCATCAATTCTGTTCGCCACATCTCTGTGAGGGAGGCAGAGGAGAAATGAGGCTGGGAGAGAAGTTCCTGCCCAAGCCAGTAATTGGCAGCGCCTCACTGGTGGATCTAGGACAGCCCCTTACCGCTGCGTGTGGGCTCTGTCCCCGACCTCAGGGCTCTCTTTGCAGCTAGGATGAGGCACAAGAAATCACAGGCCTGGGTGTCTGAGAAGAAGGGATCATAGGAAAAGCAGGGACATGGCAGGAAAGGGAGCTCCTTGGGCCTCAGCTTCCCCCACCCTGCAGCGGGAGAAGCGCTTTCCTCCTACTTAACAAAGGGGACCTTTGACCAAGCTCAGAAAAGTCCCAGCTGGTGGGGGCAGGGAGTGGGGGCTATGGAATGGAAGAAGCGCTTTTCCTTTTAGGAGAGGCTGCATAATTCCACCCCCCTTTCGCCGCCAAGCTTTATCTTTGCCTAAGAATTCACACAACTCCCCAGGGGTCCCGCTACAGCTGCCGTTCCTCCGTCTTCACTGATAGGTAAGAAATGTGTCTGATTTAAACCGGCCATGTTTTAATAAGCATTTTGTCTGAACAGGGAAATGAGCTGCACCAGTGAGGGTGGGGTGGGGGGCTGAAGGGGGAGTGAGCTCCCCACTGGTGGCTTCTCTTTGCCCAAATGAGGCCAAGGGAGAAGTGGGGGGGCCAGCAAGGAGCCGAAGGCAGAAGAGTGTGGGGGAAGGGGAGAAGCCTTTGAAACCTCCCCCCGCAACCTCCCTCTTGCCCAGAGCCAGTTTCTAAAGATGAGTGAATTCGAGTTTCAAAAAAGGAGTGGCAGGCAAAGAGTGTCTTGGTTGAGAAAAAAGACAACCAGGAACACAAATGAGGTTGAGGCCATGTGTTGAGCCCCCACCTTGATGCTAATTAGTGCCCTGCCACAGGTGGTGGGACTCACAGCAAGCAAACCACAGCAACAGGAACAGAAACCGAGGGAGCAGGACAGGCACCCAGTTGGCCTGGGGTGGTGTGGAGATGGCTTCCAAAGCAGGTGACATGCCAGGCACTGTGGCACATTGGGAGGCCACTGTGGGAAGATGCCTTGAGATCTGGAGTTCGAGAACAGGTTGGGCAAGATGGCGAGACCTTGTCCCTACTTAAAGAAGAGGGCCGGGCGCGGTGGCTCATGCCTGTAATCCCAGCACTTTGGGGGGCCGAGGTGGGTGGATCACCTGAGGTCAGGAGTTCGAGACTAGCCTGGCCAACATGGTGAAGACCTGTCTCTACTGAAAACACAAACATTAGCTGGACATGGACATGGTGGCAGGTGTCTGTAATCTCAGCTATGCGGGAGGCTGAGGCTGGAGAATTGCTTGAACCCAGGAGGCGGAGGTTGCAAGGAGCTGAGATCGCAACATTGCTCCCTAGCCTGGGCAACAAGAGTGAAACTCGTCTAAAAAAAAAAAGAAAGAGAAAGAGAGGAAGGGAGGAAGGCAAGGAGGGAGGGAGGGAGAGAAAGAAGAAAGGAAAGCAAGTGACATTTGACCAGGGTTTTGAGGGCTGAGTAGGGGTTTGAGAGGTGGGGGGATTGGGAGAGTGCATTCTAGGAGTGAGAAAAGGTGCTGGGAGATGGGAAGCAGCAGAATGTGTGCGGAGAACTCCGTTGTGGCTGAAGAACAGGATCCAGGTGTGGAGGAGAAGGAGGTGGCTGGACACAGAGGCGCGTTGTGTGTAGGGGAGGGATGGGAGGAGCGGACAGGGCAGAGCTAGAAGGCTTGGTCAAGGGGAAATGGGACTGGAGAGGTGACTGGCGCTGACCCAAGAAAGGACAGAAGGGGTAACCACAGAGTGGAGGATGAACTAAGCCTTGGCACAGACTCAAGCGGGTGGAGGCCTCGGGCAACACCGGTCGCCACGGGGGCCTCTCCTAAGGCCCTGTCCACCCTCTGGGATTGGAGATAGGTAAGGGAGACCGGGCGGGGTGGAGGGTGAAGCCAGGCAGCGGCGGGGAGAGAAAGTCCCACCCCTGCGGGCGTTCCTCGCAGCCCCGCCGACCTCGCGGGCTTGGGCCTGGGCGGGCACCGACGGAGCGGTCCTGGGCGCGGCCTCCCGGCGCCGGTGAAGACAGGTAGGGAGGCGGAGGGACGGGAAGCCTGCGAACGCCCAGCGGCTGGGGCAGCGCACTCCGGGGGCTTCTGCAGGAAATTGCTCGCCTGGCTCAAGGCGACTGCGGTGTCAGAGAAAGTGGGGGACCGCAGAGGAGACCCGCCCCGGCTCGCTCTCCCGAGGTGGGCGCAGGGTCATCGCTCGGCACCGCGCGCCCCTGGCCGGGCGGGAAGGAAATGTGGGAAGCCGGGGAGCTGGTACCGGGCGGCCCCGGTGTTCACCCTCCGCCTGCTCAGACCTTCCCTCGAGTGGACGCCACTCCTGGGGCATGGTGCAGGCGAGGCCCTGGAGACCGCGCGCCCCTCCCGGGAGGTGCCATTGGGCCGCAGGCCTGGAGCGCCTAGGAGCCCCAGGGGCTACCGGCACCTGCGCGGCCACCCAGGCCTCCCGTGGGAACCGCGCCTCTCAGCCTCGGAGGTGCGCGGTGCGTTCCTGGGGTGGGAACGCGGGGCGCCTGGTCAGGGTGGGACCGACGCGGAGGAGGGCGGTGCGCGGGGGCCACGGGGACGAGCGTCGTGCAGACTGCGGCGGTACGGGAGTCAGCTGGGGACGGTGCAGGGGGAGGCTCGGTGGGCGGCCACCCGCCTTCCCACCCTCGCCGGCCTCTGCGCCCTGGGTGCAGGCCGCCACCTTCGGCCCTTGCTCAGCGCAGACGCGTTCCTGAGGAACACCAGGTTGAGGGCGCCCACCCGGTCCTTGCCCTCTGGCGGCAGGGGAGGTCGAAGACCCACGGCCCGCGGAGTCGCCCCGTGACCAGACCCCGGACTGGCCTTGGAGTCGAAGGGGTTGTTTGCCACCAAATGAACCGGAAAAACTGAACTTTTCAGACTTTGGAAAGGCAGATATGGGCTTGAAGTTGAGTGCAATTGCAGCGGAGGCGGTGGTGCTCTGAGTAATTACGAGTAAAATTCTCCTTTCTCCCATCTTCTCCTCAACCTCGCCTGGCCTAGCCTAGCCCTAGCAGGAGGCTCCTGCTCTGGGAGCGGCCCCCCAACAGAGCAGAGGCTGGGCCCTGGCAGCAACCCCCTCCCTCACCCTCCAACCCCAGGAATCTCCAACCTGACCACGAAAATAATGACTCAATGACTCACTGTGCCAAATTAACGAGTGTGTACATTGTTCAGTGTGCCAGGTTACATTTCTGCTGAGCTTGGCTTCTGTATACTGTCTTTTATTCTTGTAAACAGAAGTCATTTTATACCTTAAAAAAATTTAGAACAGGCCAGGCGCGGTGGCTCAAGCCTGTAATCCCAGCACTTTGGGAGGCCGAGGCGGGTGGATCACGAGGTCAAGAGATCGAGACCATCCTGGTCAACATGGTG